GTGGCTGGTCTATGACAATTAGGTTCACCCTCTAAGTATTACATCATATTACTAATGACGAAAAGTACCTACCAGGTATATAGGTATGCTAAAACAACACAGGGTTAAAAGGCATGACCTTATTATCTAATTACTTAAGTTCTAGTATAATAAGTACATACGTATACATATTAATTATAAGAATTAAATAACAATGATACACATTAAAATTCATTTACTTAGCTGTTTCAATATGAACCAATACAATATATTTAAAGTCATGCCATAATCAATTATAATATTACTTTTATTATGCAAATAAACATCTGTGACTTTGGTGTCAAGCAATAGGCCGATAATCTATCAGACGGACATTAAAATAAAAATTAGTCATCAACCCTATTTCTACGACTGACATACACTCGCTACACGTTGCGCGGTAACCGGCGGCCGCGAAACTAATAGCGATATAGATTGCCGCACGGAGCAAATCTGTGTATGCTCCACAAATTGTTATTTCGAGTCTGGGTTAAAAAAAAACCTAAAAAAGCACTCCAAATGGGTCCCGAATAATTGTGTGCCCAACAAGCCCCCAGCGTAGTGTAAGACGACACTGGGTAGTTCCCATAATCGACGAACATGCTTAAACAAAATTGAAATGGTTAACTTTTCACTACAAAGTCACCACACTTCATTTGAAATCAGTTTCTTCTGTTTTAAACTAAGCGTTTCATGACCTCTGTCTACGCCAATAGGAGACAAGCGTGAGGATACCTTTGCACTAGATATTGGTAGCAACTGAGTAAATAGCCTAAGTACCTGAATGCCAAAGGCATACCAAGGCGTTGGCGATAGGTAAAACAAGGTATTAAATTAACCTAAGTAATTAATTTAACAGTTTCTTAATTTCCTAAGAGGACCTTGACATGTCACGATTTATGATTCTTCGTAATAATGCGATTAAAAATAATACTTAATTATTAATCACCGATGATATCCAAATACAAAATTAAAGAAACAAAAGAGATTTATCATTAAAATATGCAGAGCCGTCTTACACAATAATTACACACAATGATTCGGGACTATTTTCGAATATTTTATTTATAACGTTGCCGCCCACTAGGATATCTTGTATCATGGGTGCATTGACAGACATACTAATTCATATACACATGACACCCATGTGACCCTTGTCGCGGAGAACCTAACGGGTAACCGGGGCTCCGGCTCGACGTGCAGGAGAAAGAACGGGGTAGTTTTTAGTCAGTAAGAGTCTGACACTCCCTCCCGCCTCACCCAGGCGGGAACAGTCATTCGATGCTTTCCCCCCCTAAAAAAACCCATGAGACCCGAAACAACAATTTGTGGATCACTCAAAGATTTGTTCCGTACGTGAATTGAACCCGATAAACGTTGCGCGGTAATCGGCTGCCCCGCAACGTGTAGCGGGTCCGTGTGTGTGTGTGTCTGTGGTGTCCGTCTTAGAAATTGTCAGTCCTTCCCCCCAAGCGGTCACCGGTGACAGCTCTCCACTGACTATTATTATATACCTTATTTCCGATGTTTAGATACTACTTTTGTATGAACAAATAGGGGATGATTTTCAACAGAGAGTAAAAACGATGTTGAAAATATACATAATAATTAAAACATAAAGACAAGAATGACGTGAATTTGAGTTTTAAAACGTGACTTACGAAAATATTTTCCAAGACATTTCCAACGGCAAAGCGGTTATGGCATCCCGCCTCCATTCTTTGTCATCAAATATTTTAGCGCCAAAAACGAAAATACCACTGTTAAACATTGTCACCAAATAATTGTGTGAATCGTGTAGGTAATATTAAAATTCTAACAATCTTGAGCTTTTGAGGTAGGTATTTAGATAAATTTAATGTATAAAAAAGGAACAACAGCTGCTACTTACTCGCACTTAATAATCTGTGCTAATAATATTTCGTTTAGCCATTGAGTTAAACCTACCTACTCAATCTCAATGCCGTTACGTTAGCTAAGTACTTTATTTTCCCGCCATTATTTAAAAGTGTAATTAGGTATGCATCTAAATGCATTGATATACTTTTGAATAAGTTCTAAAGAGTGGGTATTTCGTTTTATGAAGGTAAATAAATGAAAAATTCTTACGTAAACTTCTATCACTTTTATTTCTCTTACACTTATGACATCAATAAATATTCCACCTTATTATTTTTAAAATAATTTCAAATACCTGACCTAAACAAAAAAAAATCACGGTAAATAAATAATTAAGAGTTGCTACCGTCAAAAATTGTAGAAATTGGTAGATTTACATTTAGTTAAAAATTTACAAATCAATTTTCATACACATCAAAACCTATAACGTCTTTTGAAAATGATTGAAACGATTCAGGTCCAGCTAAAAATGAAGTTATTGATTTAGCTAAAATTTTCCCTTTTTCGTTATGGAAGGACATTTCTATTACTGAAGAGTTTCCTTTTTTCAATGATTTGGTAGCCACGTTGACTGTTTCGCCTTCATATGCTACCCCAAGGTAACTGTAACAATAAATTACGCATGTTTTTTTTTCTTATGTAAAATGTATTGAAAACTTCGTAAAAAAAGGCATAGCTGAGAAAAATGGTCTCTTACTTAATATTCATTCCAATAGTAAGAGAGAGCTTGGCGTCATCATTGCTAAGTTGCGTGTAAAATGATAAAACGTCGGATACGGCTGCAATGTACCCTCCATGCAAGGAACCTCCCATGTTACACATAGATTTATCGACAGTGAAAGTGCCTTGAAATGCTCCATTAGACACCGTTGTCAATTTCACCTAGAAATGAAAAAAATATAAACAAAATTGCGTTCACTCTGCAAGTTATTTGATGTTCGGACAAGTTAAGATGACAAATAAACACATTTCCATATTTGTAATAATAAGGATTAATATTTATCTACAATTGACATCTATATTTTTAGTACAAATCCATTACTCATTAACGTAGAACTCATTAGTTTAAACTTTTTCACCTTGGCAATGGCCTTTTGACGTAATATTTTAATTCTTATAACAAAATTTATATTTTAATTTAATAATAGAGACCATCATCTGTTACGGCATTAAAAAAGATAATTAGTGTATCTACTTAATTTTAAATGCGAAACAGTCTAGACAAATTAATTCACTTTTTATAATTTTTAAGTTTGAAAATAATTTTAATTATTTCATAAAGTTATATTCTTTAAATGTTGAAACACGCTTATCTCCAAAATGTCAGTCAGAGTTGAAAAATAAAATAAAATAAGAAAAATAACTATACGTCGACCTAATTTTTTTTATAAAACCGGCCCCACACTGAAATTTTTTATTGTGTTGTGGGTGTGTTTACAAACATACAAGTTCACATACATATTGACACCCAGATCCGAAAAAAAATTTGTGGATCACACAAAGAGTTGCTCCGAGCGGGAATCGAAACGCTGCACGATGTGCGGCAGCGGGTTGCCCAGCCGTCGCAATAACAGTACAGTAGAATCGCATTTTCGAAAATGCATCAAAATCCGATCAATAATAATATGAATTTATCGCAAACAGACAGATTACTATGGGACTTTTTCTGAAATAAGACTTATGGATTTACTTAGCCGTGTACTTACTTGTATATGTATAAACACACATAAGTAAAACATGCACTTGTAATGCACACAGAAACACCTTATCTTCTTTATTTCGGTCTTATCAAATAGTTGATTCAAGAAATTTAGTGATAACAAGGCAAAAAAATTAATGGTTTTGATGTTTACCTACTTCAAATTACATAATAATGTTTAGATTGATATCAATCTCATCACAATGCTTTGTTTCGGTAATAGCATCGAGTGCAATCCCATCAGATTACGACCTAATGTCAGGTTTATAGTTTACGTCAACATTTTGTATAATTGTGACGTTTGACCAAATAATAATGCCATTATTATTTCTCCTTTTGTAAATGAAAGATATAGTTGAAGACGAAGGGATTAGGTAACCCATGGATTTCCATCTCATCGGTAAGTTTGTATGAGAATCAAATTCTTCTGCGGCGTTATCAATTGTTTTCCTATAAAAACAAGTATTCCTCTGGGAACATATTAACACAGTGTATTTTTTGGGTCTTAGTCCTTGTTTGTGGGTACAAATACTTGACAGGCCGCTATTAAACATGGTAGTTTAGTTACCAAGCCTACTCACCCCATAAAAATATATTGTTCGATTTTCAAATTCAAAATGCTATTATGAACTAGAATGAACTTCATCCTTCATATTTAAAATTATAATAACTGGGTGTTTACTTACTTTCTTGAGAACTGTACCGTAATCAAAACATGTCTTCGTTACCAAGTTGTCCATAGCTTTTACAAGGCGAGCAGCTCTACTACTTGTTGCCATTGTTATTATTTATGGAAATAAAAATATTATTATTACTATTTATGTATAACACTACGATACTAACTAATGCTAAAAGTAAGAAATTCGCGTTTTGGCGCATCTTTTATACCATGTTCAGAATCAATCGCAGTGTTGCCATAGTTGTGTTAAATATTTTCTTCGATTTTTTACAAATATTGAATTTCATGATGGAATTTTGGTAGAGAAAGATTCATTTTTATAGTAATTGATTTTACTTTTTGCTAAAAGATTTTATTTTTTCTTTCTAACTTAGGGCACAACTTGATTTCAACATATTCTTCCATAAATATTTTGGTAGCAATTAGGAGTTCTCACGCTGGCAACTCAGGCCGGATCAACAAGCGAGCGGTTTGCAGCTTGTGTCGGTTTCTTCGCAAAATTAACAAAAATATAATTTCCTGCATAGTTTCCTATGTTTTATTGTATTCTCAAAGTGTGTTAGTTTCAGCTACTCAATAGTGTTACTCTAATATTTATTTATCTACTTAGAAATGCTTGGAGATTCAACGTAATCTAAGTGACAGATGTTACGGTGTTAACTCGCGCCACTTTTGGATTATTACTGCTATTTGATTAAGTAAAACATGGAAGAAATCAAGGATAATACCGTTGAAATGGAGTGTAATCCGCCAGTGTCAGGTAATTGCGGCATTCATACAGTAATTGCCATTTATTTTCACGCTCAAGTTTGACATTCAATCATATTAGCCGAACAAAATTAAAATGTCGTCATGTAACTTTCAATTATATCAGAATATCTGTATGTTTTCAATGTTGTTCTCAGTCGTAGATGAATATTAATATACTCTTGAATATTTTTAGTATGATCTTAAACATTGTTCTCGATGATATGCAAGAAAATTAGAGGTTCAGTTAGATTTCACTAGGTCATCGTCTTGCACGGAATTGGCCTACACATTTTGGTCGGATTATAACACAAACATCAATAAGGTTTTGTATCTATTTTTGAGTTACAAATACGTTTTCGTTTACCGCCGCTTTTGTTATTTTTACTGGGAAATAGTATTGGACATTCGTTTGTTAGTAACAATTCGAGATGATTGCCATAGTTATGATTAGATTTGTATTTGGAATGAAGAAGCTTCATTTTTTAGGTTATAATGAAAGTTGGACTCATTGTGCCAGTAACAGTGACCATAGATGTAGTTTCGTTATTAGCTACTAAGAAGTTTCTATTCAATTACATGCTTGCAGTACAAAATCATAGCACTAATTAAATAATTCTAAATATTAACTATTAACTGCACCACTTATACAGATATTTTAATCAATTTCTAATAAGATTAGTACCTAAATTGAGTATTAGATTTTTTAATTACAAATCTTACCTGAAATAACATAATGTAAAAAATGCCAATAATTGGGATATATCATTTTTGCTATTTTATTCTGCTTTACACCATACCGAGTTATATCAAACTAGTGAAATTATCATCATAAAGAAATTGCAATTACTAAATGTTTTATTTATATTCTATCCTCGGGCTAGAATAAAGTCATTTACAAGGACCTTGAAAAATGGAACACTGTACCGTACAACTGAACCGCTCAACTTGTTCTTTTCAGACAAGTTGCTACATGTTCATATTAAAACTAGTTTTGTTTTGCCATCAATACTAGTAAAATAATGGGCCTCTCTAATACTAGCTAAGATTTGATAGTAAATGGTAAAACCACTTGCACTTTTATTAGCGGCCATTTTTAAAACTATATTTCACTTAGTATGGCTAATGGCAGGCAAGAAAGACTTAGTTTATTTTAATAAATTTAGTTCTATTTTTGAAATAATTGAACATGTTAAATTGTTTGTGAATAGAAGGATTGGTAATTTAAACATGAATAATGTTTTTGTTATTTTGTAAATGAAACTCTAATTTTTTAATTATTGTTTTAGAATTTTATTTGAGGCAAATTGTTGTACATTTATAGAGCTGAGCAACTTGTGATTTTCTTGATATTTAGCTCTTTGTAGAAATTAAAAATATTTTATTTATTTATTTATACTTTGTTGTACACACAGAAAAAATTGTATACATTGTATAATGTTAGTAAATATTTTGTTTTTCAGATTAAATAATTAAATAAAATTGTGAGACAGGTATAAGCTATTTTCATCACAATGAAGGTTTCACATAAAAGTTTAATCAATTGTTGTGTCTAGATAATTAAGTAAAACAATAATCATCTTAGACATTTTACTTAAGATGACAGATAGGTCTATGCCCCTGTAGTAGGATAACCATAGCTATCTAATTCTAATAAGTATTATTTTTTTAACTATTTCCAGAGTCCGCAGTCCAGGTTCCAGTAGTGGATGCGGCAGGTGACAATAATGTGGGGAGCACAAACAATAAGGATGACTCCCAAAACCTCTTTCCTGACAGTCCGGTCTACGAACCAGATGATGATGTTGTGGTATGTTTCATTTCTATTTTAAATAGCTTTTGCCAGCAGTTTCGTTTGTATTACTGGGTGTGGGACACTCACACACATATTCATGTCAATGCATGTACATGTTTATGTGTGTAGTTTGTCATGTTACTTGATTCCCACCTTATGATATATTCTTTACTACCTACTTCAGCGCGGTTTCACATGCTCTGCTCAGCTCCTATTGGTCGTAGCGTGATGTTTTATAGCCTATAGCCATCCTCGATAAATGAGCTATCCAACACAAAAGGAATTATTCAAATCAGACTTGTAGTTACGGAGATTAGCGCGTTCAAACAAACAAACAAAAAACAAACTCTTCCGCTTTATATAATAGTATAAGATATAACCAATCAGCAATTGTAGCCTTATAGATAGCATGTATTGTGGATTGTCCACTACATTCTTTATTTGATACATGTGTAGTTAAAGACAATATCTTATCTTATACTCTTATACTATTATATAAAGCAGAACAGTTTGTTTGTTTGTTTGAACGCGCTAATCTCCATAACTACAAGTCTGATTTGAATAATTCTTTTTGTGTTCGATAGCGCATTTATCGAGGATGGCCATAGATTATAAAACATCACGCTACGACCAAGAGAAGCTAAGCAGAGCGTGTGAAACCGCGCGGAAGTAGCTAGTATTGATATATTACTGAGTGTTATCAAACTTGTATTCCTACTCCACCAACCCTACACTGGGTTACAAAGTAGACAAGTTATTCAAGATTGTTCTCTGTCTCTGTGCAAAATTTCATTCGGATTTATTCCTTTGACTGCACGGTTGGCGCGGTGGCTGGGCAACTGGCTGACGCGCAACATGTCGCGGTTTCGATTCCCGCACGGAACAATTATTTGTGTGATCCACAGATTGTTGTTCCGGGTCTGAGTGTCATGTGTATGTGAACTTGTATGTTTGTAAACGCACCCACGACACAGGAGAAAATCCTAGAACTATTTGCAGATCACAAAACTCCATACTTCCTCAGAAACTTTACATCGAATTGAATAAAATAATAAGTAGATAATAAAAAATTTCGAAATCTTTAATTTATGTTTTACGTAATAGATAATGCATTAGTTAATTTTTCAGAATTTAATAGATAAAAAAAAGTTCAGACTTTAATAGATGTAATAAATATGATAGAAATTTAACTATATGTATATGCAAATTTCTTAATTTTATCTTCTTAATTATAAATACCTTCAACATATGAATTATAAATATTATGACCATGGTGAAAAATATAACAATGAACAATCATGTCCTTTTTTTATTGCTATGTCGAAACTCTAAAGCTACTCTAAGCTACAAAAACAATTCATTGAAATTAAAATTGTCATATATTATAGTAGTTATAGTTATGTAATACTAATAGTTTTTATATTTGCAAAATGATAAGCTGATTTGTTTTTTCATTTATTTAAATACACAATGTTTTGTTTTATGTAGGTATGTTTAATTTTCAGACTGTTAGCAGCGGAACTGACGAAGTTAATCTGGTATCGTCAGACACAAAAGGTAAGGCACTACACATTCGTTTACATTGTTTACATTTCAAAAATACTTATTAAAAATGTATGTATATTGTACAATAAAAATTGGCACCACTGTTTCGAAAGTCGATAATCGCAAACATGTTGAGTCAAAGACTGGGATCGAGTTCTGCTTATGTCTTGTTTTATAATAAAAAATTGTTAAATATTCGTTTTACAGAAGAACCGACAGCGCAACCCAAAAGAAAGCTATCAGACGACCGGTCAGATAGCAGCGCAAAGATCCAAAAGCTAGAACTTACTGACGATGAGTTCGCCGTATCCACACAGAACTTGGATGACGAAGTCTCCGAGATTACCAGCGCACCTAAACGGAAACTCGAAGAAGTGGAGCTTCCATCCACCTCTAGAGTCCGTACTCCGGCCCGGTCCAGCCCAAGAAGACTCAAGCGAAGCAATAGCGCCGAAATCTCCAAACCAAAAACACCAAAGACCCCAAAGTCTCGCCCAGCCAGCGTCGACGTTACCTCTTCTCACAAAACTCCACGAAAAGCTAAAGATGAGCCAAAGGAAATAATATCCCTCTCCGATAGCTCGTCACGCCCCAGTGTCGAGTTCGTCACTGAAATACCACCCCCGAAAGTTCCAGAAACAATTGCCGAAGAGAACTCGGAGTTGGATGACTCGCAAGGCTTCCATCTAGAACTTTCCCCAACTCCTGAGGACAATGCAATTAAGATTAAGACTCCGAGCAACAGTGACCCAGTACTTGTTAAAGACAGGAAGGAAGAACTCAATCCTGGAAAAATTAATGATACTAGAAGCGAAGGGTACAAGTACTCTGATCAAGGCGCCTTCTCCCAACCCAAAGTGAAAGATTACATCGGAAAGACCACCGACCAAGAAAGCACTGATAGTGTCGGTTCACTCAACTTGGAGAGTCCAGATACTCTACCTACCGTCGCGTCGAAGTTGATCTCGAAACTGTCCAACGGCAATTCATCCACTCCTACCGAGAATTCTGATGGTAAGAATGCTGAGGACAGTGACAGTACTCCTGATATGGCCAAGTTGAACTCTATTAAGAACAAGAGAGGGAAGAATGAGTCGTTCAGATCAAGTAATAATGCTACTCCATCAACGATTTCACCTTTAGCGAATGGTCACTCTCTTCCAATCAACACGCCACAAATACCAGTCTTCGACGTCCACATAAGTCACAGTGAGGAGAACGAGTTCCTGTCTCTGTATGTTGTTCGGACGGACAATGACCTTGGGATGGACATGTGCAGAGAGTACCAGAGGATTTCTAAAAGGTTCACAATAGATCCGTATTTAGCTGATGTGTCTGTGAGCAATTCTCCATCCAGTGTTACTAGTGGCGGTATGATCAATTTGCCGAATAGAACATCTTTCGCGTCTACAGTTAGTTCGACATCGACGTCAAGCAACCGAACGAGTGATGGCGCGTTTGTTGTACCACAACCGCCGCGGAAATCCATCGCCAACCCTACGACATCTGTCAAGGGATATGAAGCGTTAATGAAGAAGCTACAAGATATATTCTCGCATATCCGAGAGACTTCCGTAGATGAGGGTTTGAGCGATGACAAAGTTTCTGTGGGTATTCAAACATCTGCGTCTAATGACAGTTCTATGAGTAATGGTAATGCAAGTCCGGAAGAAGTAAATAAATGCGATAAGGCGACTCCAAAGAGTTCTTTGAAGAAGACACGGGTCCGAGGGCGACGGCCTATTGCGGGGAAGACTAAGCGAGCGTTATTGCCAACTCAACCTGAAGAACCGGAGTACATGCACGGGATGAACTCACCAGAAATGGTGCCGACTAATGGTGAAAATGGGAAGGAGTCTCCAGTGAAATCACCTAAAGACGAAAAACCATTATCGTCACTGGTGGCTACGCCTAAATCTGTGAGTAAGTTGAAGAAGAAGGGTCGTCCTACATCTCCGCGACCAGCTACACCAGTAGAAAAAGCTGTAGTGAAGCAAGAATACCCTGGTTACGCGCCAGATACGGTAGTACTAGCTAAATGGGTAGACAAACGATACTATTCAGGAAAAGTGTTGGAGATTACGGAACCAAACAAATATCTGATCAGGTTTGATGATGGCCAGACTAAAGTATTGTTAGATGACTTTATAATATTTGGAGATATGAAGGCGTTGCCTTTGGAGGGTCAGTCCGTTTACGCTATGGTTGATGAAGAGCAGAACTATGAGCCTGGACTAGTGCTTGGAGTCGAGGAGAATGACAGCGGAACTATCACCTACAAATGTACTACTGATGGGTGAGTAGCCTTTTAACAAATCTGTGACAGACAACTAAGTCATGAAATCTTTAATTTTAATAGCAATCCAACGCGGTATATAGAGATGAATCCATAAGACCCAGACATTCCCTCATTGTGTTAAGATTTTCAACATAAAACTTGAAATAGTTATTGAAACCCATTCTCTTACAAGCCTAAAAACCAGCCAGTGATCTATCCAGTATCGGTATGGCATGAGACTAATGCCGGAATACTGAAACGTTACTCAATTTTAAGTCGTGCTCAAATATCGTGCCATCTCTGTCATTTTACAAAGAATTTGTAGAGATAGAACTATACTTAAGCACGACTTAAAATTGGGTAGCGTTTCAGTATTCCGACATAATTAAAACAACTCTTTTGGCAAAACTTCCTGGTAAATAACTTAACTTAAAAAAATAGAAATCTTTTGAAATTATAAATAAGTATAGTAACTGGTTCTAGTTTCATTCTATACTGACGTAACAATTATCTTGCAGGGACACGGTGGTACTAGTAACAGCGAGTGAGCTTTACCTGACGGAAGATCAAGCGCGCTCCTTGAAGGAGGCGGCGCGTACTCGGGAGCCGTCAGGACCTTCCACGCCACGGCGCAGACACCATCGGGAGCTAGACCTTGATAATATCATACAGGTACCTATTACAATATTAAATAATAATGACTAATGTAGACATACTAGAAACATACATACATACATAACTTCACGCCTGTCTCCCATGGGGGTAGGCAGAGACTATGGAACGCCAATTGCTACGGTTCCTACATACCTCTCTCGCTTCATCAACAGTCATCAATCTTTTCATGCATGCTCTTCGGTTCTAAAATCAAACATGATATCTTTATTATTACTTACCTTTTAACTTAAGAATTGTCTAGCACTGTCGCATTAACTTCAAATTGCTTCTTTTTTATTCCCCTTAAGCAAAGATTATCACCAGTCCCATAAATAACTACTTTACTAAAATTGCTCATAAGCAGTTCTTGTTATGGTAAAATGTAATAAATTTGATCAAATATAAATATTTTCTTTCCCCAGGGACCTCGCAGCGCTAGAAGCCGCGACAAGGGCAACTCGAGCGCGCGGAAACGTGTGGCTTCACCTAAGAGTCCCAAAGCCTCCACTTCTGGTATTTCAGGTTAGTATGGCGACTAGAACAGTATGAAATCCAATCAATACAAACTACGAAACTCCAAATATCTACGATAGTAGCAATGGATTGCCCAAAAACGATAGAGTATTTTCAAAGATAAAAAAAAATATTTTTTTTTTCATAAAAACGGCTAGCGAATAGTAGCGCTAATTGCTATGCTACCTTCATAATAGAGATGATGACAGGGTATGAAAATTAAAAATCTAATTAGTCAGTTGTGTAACGAAAAAATATTAGCACGTATTTTTTTATTTTGTTGTATAATAAAATGATACTTAGGTATAAAGAATCAAAGTTTATGAGTGGGGGCGTCGTCATTTCTACGTATAAAATGTACATAGAAGTGACGTCACGCGACATTTCAAATCAATATATCGTCGAAGGTATTCGTTTCTGTAAAAAATTAATAAATACGTGTTTAATGTTTTAAAATAATTTACCAGACGGACATTAAAATAAAAATTAGTCATCTACCCTATTACTATATCTTTGCAGCATGTGTCATATTATTTATTGGCTACTTCTTCACCGATAACATTGCTATGACAACATGATTACAATCGTTATATGTATAGATAGTACTCAAGTGGCAGATAAATAATGTAGGTAAATATTATTTCAATAGTAATTTATCAGTTATCATGTTGTACTTGATTTTATCTGCATTTTAACTTGAAAACTTAAATAAACATTCGTCGTCAAATCAATTATAAGTGGTCCAATGCTAAACGTAGACTTTCTCTTCATTAAAACATTATTAAAATTAAGTTATTATGAACGTAATATGAACTTAAATAACAAGCAAAGAAAATAAATATAATATACATTTGAACTAAAATAATGAATAAAAAGTAAGAAAAGAAACTAAAAATAAATTTATATTATTTATATGTTTACTGATGACGCTATTTCATGCCTAAAACCATTATTAATAAATATATACAACTTAAAATACAAATAACTAAAAACTTAATAATTTACACCTTAAAAATAAAAATGTTACAATAGGCATAAAAAAAACTAAACGTAATAAAATAAAAAATATTTAGGTTAAACCAAACGTCGTTTAAATTGCAGTCGTACAAATGACTACTGATTTTCTTTTATTAGAAGGTCAACTAATTGACTCTGTCGACATTGTAACATCTGTTAATCAATAAATCGATTCAGACAAACTGGTCTTGGATATTAATTAACTACCTACTTCCTTCCGCGCGGTTTCACACGCTCTGCTCAGCTCCTATTGGTCGTAGCGTGATGTTTTATAGCCTATAGCCATTCTCGATAAATGCGCTATCCAACACAATAAGAATTATTCAAATCAGACTTGTAGTTACGGAGATTAGCGCGTTCAAACAAACAAACAAACAAAAAAACAAACTCTTCCGCTTTATATAATAGTATAAGATAAGATTACTTTTTCTTTACAAATGTATTAAACACATTAATATAACCTCATTTACCTTTTGATTGTGTTCTATGCGACTCATGCGTTCGTAAAATGACGATATGCGGATTTGTCGTTGTCGCTTCGTGGACAGTTTTTTTGGCAAAAAAGCACACGAATCACCTGATTTTCATTGTTTCTAAGCAAGATACGAACATTTCTCATTTGTATGCTGTCTATTGTCATTTGTAGGATGCGTCCATTCGTCAAATGACGCGTCGTGGACATTAGACCTTACTTAACATGGGTGCTGTAATATGATGTTATTGTACTACCAAGACAAAGTGCTTTAAAAGAGAGTATTCAGATCACACCTTACGATCTTCATCTCCAGGTGTAAAATCAAAGAGTACCCCAGTGAGTCGCAGGCGGCTAGCGAGTGAGAGTAGTGAGATGAGTGAGAGCAGTAACTCCGCCCCTCCCGCCCGACTGGAGGAGGTCGCTGGGGTCGAACCAGAGGTACAGAGGACTCCGAGGAAGATTGACGGGGTGAAAGGTGAGATTAGTTACTCTGCTATAAATTAATTTCTTTATCTTCTTCCTCAATACATTGTGTTCGGCATTGTCAGTATTGGGAAAAGAATTTATTCAAATAAAAACTTTAATAAAATTAAAACTAACTATTACTATTGGTTGTGCTGGTTCGGCTGCTGCCTCTGCAGAAAACCTCAAGCGGCGCAAGTATAACAACCTTGCTGGTAGTTATATCTTTGAGCCGTTTGGGGTTGAGACGCTAAGTCCGTGGGGTCCGAGTGCACTTAAATTATTCTAAAACATTTCAAAACGCCTGGTTGACACATCTCGTGACCAGGGGGCTGGTCTTTTTCTCGGTCAGAGGTTAAGCATTTATTATTAATTTAGTAATAGTCAGTATTTGATTCACTTAGTGTGACCGGTATCTGGATTTTACTTACCCGTTATAGGTGATTGATATTCATTGTAATGACAAAGGGATCGGCAACGGCATACATTCTCAGTCACGAAATGAAAAAAGTCGTGTTCAAATTGTTTTATAACTATTAGTATTAGTATATTAGTGGTAACAATTCTTAATCAAGCATATTCATACTCAACAATTTCGAATTTAGATGAAGTTGGAAATATATCAGATTGTCTGTCTCTTACCTCCACCTTTTACATATTTCAATAAATCTAAGCAACATAACTGCAACAACAATTGCTGTATTAAAAGTAATCACCAGGTGTCTCACTCTCCGCAGCTGGTCCGCTCCAGCTCAAAGGAGCCTCAAAACAGAATATAGGCAAGAAGAACTCCAAGCTGACCAAGTTTGAGAATGATGAGGATACTGTCTCCAAGATGGGTCCCATTCCGGGACCTGAGAATAAGCTGTTCTCTGGGCTACACTTCTTGTTGACTTGTACTGAGACGCCGAGGCGGACACGTACTGAGAAGGTAAATATAGTAGTTACTAAGATAAGTTATACTTAATCAAGAACTTTAATATTAATTTGGAAAGTTCTTTACTGGTTTCTTGTGAAAGTTAAAGATAAAGATATTTTTTATTTGCGTTAACATGAGTAATATTACAAGAGTACACGCAATGGTGTTACGTTAAGAGTATGAGCTATATGTTATGCCGTTTTGGCGTACAAATATTTAAAATCATAATTTAATATTAAGGTAGAAAAAAAATTATACATGCAAACCCAAATAAGCAAAAAAAACATAGAAGATAATATTAACAGTTACAGGTACAACAAAAATATGTTAATTGTATTACAAATCTAACTTATCTTTTAAAAAATCTTCTATATTATAATAGCATTTCTTATGTAACAAACGTTTGAGTTTATGAGAAACTACATACTTTTTAATTAGTGACTAAGTGAACACTGTCTAGGAACGTTTCGTCTAAATTGAGTCGAAATTAATGTTTGCTTCTCTCTAAATTTCCAAGTGTACCATTACAGATTTTATATGCAGATAGTATCTAAGCAGTAAGTTCCTCAATAAATACCCAATCTTCACTGGAAGTCTTCGAATAAATACCCACTGTTAACTAGTTACTAATTATCAGCGGAATTCAATATCAAATTTCGATTCAAAACCTTCATATTAAATTGAATTTTTGACATTTGTAAAGAGTGTGTCGTGGTGGTCCGGAGGTTAAGATGTCCCCTTCTCATGCATGAGAGTGCGGGTTCGAAACCTACCACCGGCAAGTACCAATGTGACTTTTTCCGAGTTATATGTACTTTCTAAGATTATTTAGACACCACTGACAAACGGTGCAGGAAAACATCGTGAGGAAACCTAGACTTATTTTCTAACTATATGTTTGAAATCGCCAACCCGCATTGAGCAAGCATGGTGATTAATGCTTAAACCTTCTCCGTGTGAGAAGAGGCCTTTGGTCTGCAGTAGTCATTTATAGGCTGTTGATGATGATGAAAGAGTGTTGCAATGTGGAGCAATGAGGGAGACGAGTCGTTCTTATGAATATCTTTAATTGAGTATCTTAATATCTAACTTACGCTACTTACTTATAGGGCGAGGTGCCACACACACTACAGTGTGTCACAAAAATCAAATCGATCTCAAACCAGAGATTTTCATTGAGATTGATTATTGATTTCGGTAATAAGTGATCAATCTGTCTATTATAATAACTACGAATATTGTCACTCTCCAGGCTACTCAAAGCGCAGAAACCCGCCACTACTCGTCTGAAGAAGACAGTGAGACCACTCACTCAGTGGCTGGCACTGATACTGAGGACCTGGAGTTCTGTGATCGTCCCTTCAACAAGGAGCGCTTGAAGGAACAACTGGAAGCCGGCGGCGGGACTGTGTACAGGTAAATTTGAGAAAAATATTAGAGAATCGATAGAGATAAATAAAAACTCGATAAATTATAATCTGAAAATTTAATGACATTTATGTCAATAACAGTATACTGTTTACCAGTGACATGCAGTTTTCTACTCACCAATCATTTTGTTGTTTTATTTTTCTCAATATTAATCATAATAATTTCACAAACTGACTGAGATTCATTAGGTATATTTATTCTGACAATAAAGTCACAATATTACTCTAATATTCTCAACTTCATCTTCAACCAAGTCAATATCTTCTATAAATGGTTTTACAACTACATATACAACCACAATACATTTTTATTGGGGAATTTTTTACTACACCTCTATTTAGAAATTTAAGCAAACCAAATTTCTGCACTAATTACCGAATGCATTTCAAAAAAATTACTGTACTACAAATTAATTACATATTACTCACCGTAAAACAAAAATACTGATTTACACACAAATTGCTCAATATTACAACGGAATTTCCAAAATAGGTTAGGTTAGGAATTATTAGATTTACTTTTAGTTAACAAGATAGTCATTCAGTAAAGCAGTTAAGCTTTAAATATCTAACAGTATAGTAAAATTGATTTATTTGATTGGCAAATTTAGTGTCCAATTCAGTATTTTTGGTGGTAATTTCGAATATTTTGATTGAAAAAAGGGAATTTACAGTTAAAGTATTAAATACCACCCTTTTATATATATTTAGTACTAATTTATTCATTCTTCTACAGCCACTTCGACGACGTGCCAAAGAACAAGTATAGTGTTTGCAAGTTGATCGCGCCGCGCCCCTGTCTCACCGCGAAGTACATTCAGTGCCTCGCCGCGGACATCCGCTCCGTGTCACATGGCTGGGTCATCATGAGCTGTATCGAGAACTCGTTGCATGACATCGACTCCTTCGCTCTACCAGCCGGCTGGTCTATTCTGAAACAGAGGTTTATTAACTGGGTAAGTTCTTTGTAATTTATAATAATTATGCTAGATGTTTGACTTCAAAATCTCCAGTAGAAACATGCGAGTCTTGGTTACTCTCCTATTTTAAAAGACTTATAAACCGGCGAAATATATACGGTCATGGTGGCCCGGAGGTTTAAGACGCCCGCTTCTCATGCATGAGGGTGCGGGTTTGAAACCTACCAACGGCAAGTATCAATGTGACTCTTGTATATTGGTATCATATGTACTTTCTAAGATTGTGTAGACACCACTGACAAACGGTGAAGGAAAATATCGTGAGGAAATCTGGGCTTATAATTTCTAATTATAAGTTTGTAATCGCCAACCCGCATTGAGCAAGCGTGGTGATTAATGCTCAAACCTTCTCCGTGTGAGAAGAGGCTTTGCTCAGCAGTGGTCATTTATAGGCTGTTGATGAACTCGGCAAAATCTGAATATGTCTTCTTTGCTTACATTTCAGGCATTGAAAAGCATACCTGACATCATGTTATGTTATAAAGATCATTATTGTTTACAAACTGTTAATCTCTACTGTCAGAAGTTATATTTTAGCTATATTCTCTGTTATACTAAAGTTTTAATCTAATAATTTTATCTCCAGGTTCCGCCATCAGGCAAGCGCAACGCGACGTTCTTCAAAGACAAGATCATACTCCTATGCGGAGACCAGGATACATTCGTCAAGTTTTGGGAGCGAGTGTGCACCCTGGCCGGGGCCACGACACGAGTCGTCAACGAGGAGGACCTTAACATGTCCGGGGCCCTCGCACTCGTCACAGAGTGGGATTGTCCCCACGAAGTACAAAACAAGGCGAATCAGGACAACATCCCACTCGTGTCCACGACCTGGGTCGTCCAGTGCCTAATAGAGGCTCGTGTCATCGCCCCCACCAGCCACGAAAAGTTCTCATTTATGTTTGCGGAGCCAGAATGATCCTGGGACTTTAAAAAGATCCTCATTATACGTGAAAATTGACACTTGAGGTGACGCGACAGTGACGCTTTAGTGATAGTGAAGTGAATAACCTAACTTACTTGCAGTGGTACAAACACATGGTTGGTTAAAGTACAAAACTTAAAGTATGTTATGCTAAGCATGTTAAAGAGTATACAGCTTCAATGCTTAGATGATTATAAAGTTTAAAGTTTAACCAAATTGAATATAATGCTTAGCTGCAGATTGTTGAAGCGATATTGTTATATGTTGCTAATTTTATAAGCGAAAATTAATGGAAGAAATATTTTATTCACAATCTGTGCTTATACCACTGTATAGAAAGTTATGAAGTTAATAAAATAGTGTTTTAGTGTATAAAGAACTGCGTGTGCAGCTGAAAGTGGACTTGAGAATTTTATTAAAAATGTCAGTCTTGGTGTTTATAGTGTATAAGGATAATGTTTGCAGGTATTCGTAAAATGTATTTATTATGATTTTAATACAATATTGTCGCGATAGTTGGGAGTATTAAGTAGTTAAAAGGATGTATCATTGGCAGACCTCCTCAGTAGACTATCCAAGTTGAATGTAATCGTTAAATGTAAGGCAGGTTATCGTTCGGCAAGACTAACTTAGGGAGGCACTTCATACAACGAGCGTCTTAAGGTAACGATCATTTTATGGATGCTATAACTAAATTATCGCGACAATATCCTACAACTGATGTCAACGTATACGCGTCATAACATGACAAGTGAATTTCAAATTTATAATCAATAAATTAAGGTTCAATGTTGTTGGTAAGCTATGGCGCTGACGACAAACAAGATCTAAAGTCAAAAACTTAGATAATATGTATTCTTACTTCTAATGATCATAGTGCGACTGATTTCTAAACTTATATCTATTACAATAAAAACTTAATTCCTATGCTATGCTTTGCTGCGTGTTAAGGTTTCTGCAAGAGAACGAATGAATTATTCACATCTACAAAGTAAAAGAAAATGTAACTTCATAGATAAGATTTTATTGTTCTAAATGTCGCAATATCGACTTTTAAACACGAGTTTTTCTATCTCAGAATTGTTAGTCCGAAATCCAGATGTGTCCAGCATTTGAATCTAGGTATATCTGAATATTGTCTATCTGACCCCTTCATTTAGGTACAATTAACCCATAGTTTCATTGAACGTCGAACTAGAAGATGACATTTCTGTATCTGTATCTTAAAAGTGGCAATTAAGATCTTAAAACTCAAAATGGGAAATGATATGATAATAAACATTCACTTCTATGGTGGTTTACTAAACAATTATTGCTATATATAAATTATCATTTAACCTACAATGCAGAAACCTATAGCCAGCAAGGCCACTAAAATGTTCAAAGACTTTCTGACTTCAAAGAATGATTATATAGGTAGCTAAGTATATTCTATAGGATTACAAAGTCGTATTCAATTGTATATTGGTCTCATTTAGTTCTAAGATTATGATAATGTAATTGTAACTATGGAAGTTGCTAAAAGTCATCAATTAAATTTCTATCGATTTTAAATCGATGTATAGCCAAAGTGAGCTAATAAAGTAATATCGTGAACAATATAATAAGGATCAGGTGAACTGTTATTTAATTTTTATTTGACTTTATATATTTCTTAATGGTATTGAACGCCATTGTCGTGTTTAAGTAGTAATCGAAGCACCCTGTAACGCCTGTCACGAATTTGCGGAAAACTTGCACGAAGCCATTATCTTTGTGGGTGTTTTAATACTTCTACATAGGAAAAAACCCTTTACATACAGACAACAACACAAGTTCACAGTGCGTCGCAGCGCAAAAGGCCGGAGCCCAGTTCAATGCTGTGGCCTGGACACGAAGGCTCGAGTCCACAGCGCTGATTTTCAGCGCCAGCCTGTATAATATAGTTACATATTGGGGCCTATCGCACCTCCGCCCACCAGACGGCGCCAGTCTGAACCTCTCGTTCATCGTCCAATAGCTAATAAAGCTAATGTCAAGCCATTGGGCGTTCAATATTTGACAGGTGCTGTGATTGGACGAAAACATCTCCCATGTATGATTCATAATCACCAACAGTGGAGCATACCACCGTGGAGTTGGATACAAGGTATGTGGACCATGGACGTCCTCTGCATAAGAGGTTTGACCTTATCCTCTACCCTTGACAGTTCGGTGAACGCAGTTTAAAATATTCAGGTTTATCAACGAGCGCTGCTATCCAATCTGTCTAATATGTAGTCCCTTTATGATAACACTCGGGACAAGAGTAGAATAGGTGAAATACTTCACAGAATTGTGGCTTAGTGTCGAGAGCATATAAATACGTTTATAATCTGGCGTTCAAATGTTTTTTTTTAAATAATCCTTGCTATCCCAACTGTTTGGATATCGATAAATCAGACCCTGTTTTTTAAATATTATTTAATATTAACATTGACATTAAACTTAGTAATTATAATGATTAAATCATGGACCTTTTTATTGTATTTTGTATTTTCTCTTTTATGTGAAATTGTTTTTGACGTAAAAATTTGAATTGGTGTCACAAAATTAGAATTATTAACATGTTGATGTTACCTTTTTGTATTTTCGGTATTTCTTTGTTTTATGCCTTTGATGTCGTTCAAAAACTTATGTTTTTTTTTAATAGTATTTGTTATAAAGATAGTAAATGTTCTTAATGTCATTTTGTACTAATATACAAAGCTATGAATGAGATATTGTGTGTGAGAGTTGGACTATGAACATTTGAACAATTCTCAACTTTATAGCAAAGGGCGTAAAGATGATAATTGAATCTTTTAAAAATGTATTATTGACAAAAATATCTGATCTCTGTTGAAGGGAACAATTGGAGTTGTAAATATTCGAGATTGAGTGTTAAAAAAGCTAAACACATGTTTTATTAATATATAAACTGAATTTTGCACTGTAATAATGTTGAATGTCCGAAAATTGCATTAGAAATTTTAGCAATTCATATTCATAGTTGGTTCAACCAATTTCGAGTTCTATTCTGTACACGATAAAGATTGCATTTATTATAAGCCAAAAAATGAAACGAGTGCAGCTATAATAATACCTTGTTGACAAGGTAATAGAACACAATTTTCGTTGATACAACTGTAAGGTATGGTTTGATAAAATGTCTTACGCTGTGTCAAAGAATACAAACTATTTGAACCTTTGTGAACCTCTATTTAGAATGCATGTAAAAAATCATTAATGATAATGTAATAAATCAAATAACTTGCATTCTAAAGACAACTTTAACTGCTGTAGTATATTTAAAGATAACTTAAACTATTGTTGATAACGAATTTGTTCCGAAAATTTACGTTAAATAACCATTAAGATGACAACGTGGTTCGACCATTCATCATTATTCCAGTCCACAAATATTCTGTCTCTGTCTTACCCATAAAATCAAACATAGGTGTGACAGAGACAAGCATACTTAAACTAAAACGCGTGTGTATAGCCAATGTAGGTTTATCTCGAAGTTTGAATGAAGCTGGATTTATGTACAAGTAGGTAAATGTTTGAAATGTATTGTATTTTGATCTGATCTGTACATAGTTATGTGGTTTCGTTCTAGCACACACTAGTTCTCTATTCTCTATTTATTACATAGATTTAAATGTAATTGTTGTGTATACAATAATGTTTAAATGACTGTGTGATTATGTCTTATGGCTAGTGTTAAGGACCTCTGTCGATAGATATGAGTACTATAGATAGAATTTTGTCTTCGGCCGTATTTATTTCAATTGTAATCCAAAATCGTTGGATCGTGTGGAATAGCCATGCTTCAGCTCGACCGGAGTGATACCACGGCCTCAAAGAAGACCGACGTGAAACAAAGCTTGCGTTGTGTTTCATCGTGTGAGGTTAATCGAGGTTAATTCTTAATCCCAAAAGACCGGTAACGCCTCTGGTATTCCAGGTGTCCATGGGCGACGCCGATTGCTTACTATCAGGTGATCCGTCTGCTCGTTTACCAGTTTATGCCATAAAAAATCGATTTAGGCTTTTTGCTGAAATTTAATAGGATTAGGTCAAAAGTCGGCCGTAATTCAAGGATTGAGATTGATAATTATTATGACTGTTAAGTTACATACAAAATATGTTAAAATTCTATCTCCAGTAGTCACAACGAGATAGGTCTTAATGAGACTAAGTGTTAATCGATTTGTGTCAAAAATTCGTGCAAAGATGTATCTCTTTTGACCAGTCCTGTATATAATATTTCGTATATATTATTGTGTAGTGTATAAATGTCTAATCATTACATTAATAATATACATTGTCCATTTTGTATCACTTAAATTATTGGACTAACAGAGGGCTCAGTAAGTTTTTTTTTACGTTTAATGAGGTCGCAATGAGACCGCGTTCGGTTCTCACTATTGGTTGATTCATTGTAGCCAGCCAATTAGAGCGCATAACGCGGTCTCGATTCAATTGCGTAAAACGTAAAAAAATTGGACTTAGTCCTCTGACCTCTGCGTATTTTGTTGGTTTCCAAAAGACTTTATGGTCCCGTGGATGGAAAATAACCCTTCTTTATTTGACTTTGAGGTCTACAATTTAATGACAAAGCATAAAATTAAGAGATCGTGTATTAATAGATTAAAATATAATTGTACAGTACTATAAATAATTAAATTCTCAATGTACATAAGATTTTCAATGTTTTGGAGATCCATTATAAGGTGTGTTTAAGTCTAAATGAGTGGTTGGTTTAAATGTATCTGAATTTGTGCTAAAATAATACAGAAATATTAAGGAAAATTAGGGCTAGTGTGTGCCAAGCAAAATTGATGTAAATTTTCTTACAGTGACCTCTAGTGTTAAGCGCATTTTTCGATAACGTGACGTCATTATGTGTTGCATTTTCTTTTTGATGTTTGTTTTTGTTATTCTATCATTGTATCTTCGTTGTTAAGGAGTCAGATAGGCATGTAATGTGT